GAGCGGAGGATACTACAGAGGAAAGATGGGAGGGTGAAAGGGAGTGCAGGTTTCATCTAAAAGTAACCGGTATAGGGGTTGGTGGTGCACAGGTAACAAAATGTAGTTGAAATGTAATGAAAAAATGGTCAGAGATGTGTAGGGGTTTTACCGAAATGTTGTCTGCAATACAATTGCGTGTGTAAATTAAGTCAAGTTGGTTGCCTGATTTGTGCGTGCTTGTAGGGCAGATGGCAGTCCGTCGTGTGGGTGAGCGGTTTGCTGATGTCAACGTTGTGGATCGAGTGGCCCATGGTGGCGGTGGGGTTATGGTATGGGCAGGCATATGTTATGGACAACGAACATGGGTGCATTTTATTGATGGCATTTTGAATGCACAGAGATACCGTGACGAGATCCTGAGGCCCATTGTTGTGCCATTCATCCACGACCATCACCTCATGTTGCAGCATGATAATGCACGGCCCCATGTTGCAAGGATCTGTACACAATTCCTGGAAGCTGAAAACATCCCAGTTCTTGCATGGCCAGCATACTCACCGGACATGTCACCCATTGAGCATGTTTGGGATGCTCTGGATCGGCGTATACGACAGCGTGTTCCAGTTCCTGCCAATATCCAGCAACTTCGCACAGCCATTGAAGAGGAGTGGACCAACATTCCACAGGCCACAATCAACAACCTGATCAACTCTATGCGAAGGAGATGTGTTGCACTGCGTGAGGCAAATGGTGGAAACACCAGATACTGACTGGTTTTCGGACCCCCCAATACAGTAAAACTGCACATTTTAGAGTGGCCTTTTATTGTGGCCAGCCTAAGGCACACCTGTGCAATAATCATGCTGTCTAATCAGCATCTTGATATGCCACACCTGTGAGGTGGATGGATTATCTCGGCAAAGGAGAAGTGCTCACTAACACATATTTAGACAGATTTGTGAACAATATTTGAGAGAAGTAGGCCTTTTGTATACATAGAAAAAGTCTTAGATCTTTGAGTTCAGCTCATGAAAAATGGGGGCAAAAACAATAGTGTTGCATTTATAATTTTGTTCAGTGTAGTTGTATATGTAAGATCAGTTTGTTTATGTGGACATTTGTTGATAATATTTGCATAAATAATTGTGGCCCTTGTTATGTTAAACGCTCAGTGCTTTTTACTGTCATGTGGCAATCAGGTTGCATTTCATATCAGTATTGGATATTGCCATTTAAGAAAAAAAAAAATGGGATGCTGTCTCATCTCAGTCAAATTTGGAACACCTGAAGATGGTAGGAAAAATGTTGTTTGATGGAATCAGTGCAGTGGAGAGTGCTGTGAAAAAGGTCATCTGCAGCTGATAAAGAGTCCCAGCTGGCTTAGAGTGCCTCAGACATTGACGCAGATGTGCAGACTTAGCAGAATGGTCTGTGTTTTTTTTTTTATTTGGTGTCAAGTCATGTGGAAGAGTATTGTCTTTAGAGAGAAGCTAAAGAGGTAAGCTGTGAGGAACAGGCATGCTGGGAACAATAGACTTACTGTCCTCATGTAATGTTTTTATAAATATCTGTGTTCATGTTTGTTATTTAGGATGGTGAATAATTGCCTTGCCGAGGAACTGAAAGAGATCCATGCATTTGAGCAGAAAACATTGACACCAGAGCAGTGGGAGAAAAAGAAAGCACAATGACACATGCAGACACACACACACAGACATGCACAAAACTCATTTATGCAGCCATCAAATAAAACAGCAGTGACTTTTTTTTTTATTTGTTGATATTTCCATCTTTCCTCCCAAAGAATAATAATACAAATGTAATGGAAAGCAGTTGAGTTGGTTTTATGGGGTAATTACGCTTCAGGTTTAACTGTCACTAATGCATAACATCTTGTGCAAATGATTTAAATACATTATGTGCCCTTTGAAATTGTAGTATGCTGACAATAAAGAACATTAATGGACAGAACTTGTAGTTTGTAGTCAGTTTGTTATTGTGCTTGACTTATTTTCATTTATGTCTTTTTGGAGTAAAAGCTGCCAAAAGTTTGAAGGATGGGTCAGACAAAATGTTTTAATAAAAAATATGGCCGTTAATAAAGCATTCAATACTTTTAATTTCCCTTTTTTTTTTCAAAAACCCATGAAAATGTTCAAGTATTTTTTTTTATCTCAGTTCAACTGGAATTAGCCATGTAACAAATGTTTACATGTTACCAATTGTTGAGATGCACAAATTTCATCCTGTCAGAATATTCCAGCATTAATAAAATTAGTTTCACAAAAGGCAGTTTAAAAAGACAACAAAAAAACATCATACTTTGGAGATGTTATTGTTGCTGAATGTTAGTGTTTAACCCCAGAGTCCATGTAACAGTGATGTCCTCAAATAATACCACCACAGTGAACCAATGAGACAAATTTACACTAGATTATTTGAACTGTTAAAGATATACTTTTCAAGCATGATTATCAACTTACAACTGAAATTTCGGTATGTTCCTCCCACAAAGACATAACATTTTTAGTCCTTATCCAACTTTAAAAAGAACAGAATGATTATTTTTCAAAACATCTGCTCTTTTTGTACCACAGCAAAGAAAGACATTTGGACACCAAGCTCCAGCAGGCATTCAGTGCACTTACATCTGTGTGACAGTAATATTACAGGAAAATCAATATTTATTGTAAGACTAAATGAATTAACATGCTGTTCTGTCACTAAGTGCACTGAAAAGCAATTTCAATGCATGACAATAAAAGTAAATCAAATGTGACTGCAATGTTAATAAGCATGTGCAGGTCTGTGCTTAAAAACAATATATTTTATACACAAGCAGATAATAGATGTGGAATCATAGAAATCTCACTAAAACCTGTTGTCACTTGCAGATTATATGAATGAGCCATTGCTTTTAACAGGATGGAGGTCACAAAATGTAAATATCAATATCAGCACTTCACACCAACAAAGTGGTACAAAAGCTGCTACTGTGGTGGGACCCTTTCTAATCTGCACCATTTAAGTAGTATACATAGATATGTATAGATTCCACATTCGACCACTCTAGACACGTTGACCCCACCCACCATCTTGGAACGGTCTATATGTCGTCAATATTATGCAGCATCTGGTTGTAAAAACTGCCTAAATTTAAATTCCTGAACAAACTGGATACACTTTCACAGATAAGAGTGTGTTGGTTTGTGTTTTTAATATGTATTAACTCAATATTTCAGGTTTTTAAACTAAAGTAGGCCTACCTTTTAAATGCCTTGTTAGCTAATGGCTTCATCTTGTTGTATTGTGTTAGTTTACAAAAAGCATCTGCTGAAGTCTACTGCATATAGATATATAGATATTGATATAGATATTCATATATGCGTACAGTGTTGCAGACACTGTCAACTTGCTCTTGAGTGTACACAGACCAGCTTTGACTAGTCCAACATGACGGACAGCTTACGTATAGTGAAACAGCCTCTAATAGGGCATCTTGCCTACCTATACATATCTATGCTAGTATGTACATTTTAGGTAATAAGGCAGAGTTTTGCTGCAACCTTGATACAAACTCACCTGCCTGTAGCTTTCTAGTAACCCTTAGACTAGGGGTTCTCAACACTGGCCCTCAAGGTCCACTTTCCTGCAGAGTTTAGCTCCAACCCTAATCAAACACACCTGTACAAGCTAATCAAGGTCTTCAGGATTGCTAGAAACAAAGCCACTGAAAGGCAAGCCTGCAACCTTTAGCCAAAAAAGTGTAACGGCTAATGCTAACGCTGCGGCTTTGGCTGTACCCAGGGAAGGACACCAGAGGCCTTTTTTTTAATGGACGTCAATGGAGGAGAGGCTTCACTACGCTGAATAAACAGCTTCTAGCTTATAAACAGGAAATAGCTTATTTAATGAATCGACAACCTGTTTGCTAACCTTCAACATGTTTTACACTAAACAATACTTTCGTTGGGAACTATATGTAGATTTTACCTTGATAAAAATGCTATTTTTTTAAGAGTAGGCAGCAGGGGCGGATTGGCCATCTGGCAATTCTGGCAAATGCCAGAGGGGCCGGATGGCTTAAGTCCAACGCTGCTAAATGCGTAAAATTAACCGAACTCCTTTCAAAAGGTTTAAATTCGGCTGCTGCAGCGGAGGACAGTTAGTGCCGCAGAGGTAAGAAAACAAAAAATACAGCTAGCACAAGTCATTTTCACACTACTTCTGCCAGTTAGCTACGGAAGTTCTAAGCGGCCATGCAATATATATTTTTTCCTTCTTGTTTTCTCGTTATAACGACTTATTTTCTCGTGATCTCGACATAACAAGAGTTGTTTTCTCGTTATAGCGACTTAATTTTCTCGTTATCTCGACATAACGAGAGTTGTTTTCTCGTTATAACGACTTAATTTTCTCGTGATCTCGACATAACGAAAGTTGTTTTCTCGTTATAGCGACTTAATTTTCTCGTGATCTCGACATAACAAAAGTCGTTTTCTCGTTATCACGACTTAATTTTCTCGTTATCTCGACATAACGAGAGTTGTTTTCTCGTTATAACGACTTAATTTTCTCGTGATCTCGACATAACAAAAGTCGTTTTCTCGTTATCACGACTTAATTTTCTCGTTATCTCGACATAACGAGAGTTGTTTTCTCGTTATAACGACTTAATTTTCTCGTGATCTCGACATAACAAAAGTCGTTTTCTCGTTATCACGACTTAATTTTCTCGTTATCTCGAAATAACGAGAGTTGTTTTCTCGTTATAACGACTTAATTTTCTCTGTGTAATGCGGCATAAAAACATGGTATAGAGGCAGCATCATCGCAGCATCATGGATGATCGTATTCACTTTTACTTTGATCAGGGACTCACTCAAACTGAAATAGCTCTATGTCTATGTCAGTGATTGACAACTTACACATAAGTGTTCGACACTTGAGAAGGAGGCTGTCGGGTCTGCAACTTTATCGTCGAAGACAATATAGCGACCCTGAACGTGTAGTCAATTTCATTGCCAGTCAGCTTGAGGGACCGGGACGTCTGCATGGCTACCGAATGATGCATGAAAGATGCCGTTTGAATGGTTTGCGGCTGACCAGAGCAATGGTTAGAGAGATACAGATAAATCTGGATCCATCAGGTGTGGAGGAAAGAAGAGGGAGAAGGTTGCGGAGGCGACATTATGGAGTGCCAGGCCCTAACTATCTATGGCACATGGACTCTTACGACAAACTAAAGCCGTATGGCATAGCAGTTAACGGCTGCATTGATGGTTTTTCGCGGCACATCATCTGGATGCAAGCCTACTTCACCAATAACAATCCCAGAGTAATTGATGGGTATTATTTCTGCGCTGTTGCTGAAAGAAGGGGTTGCCCTCAAATAATCCGATCCGATTTTGGAACCGAAAATGTCCACGTCAACAGGCTACAAGAGTTTCTTCGTGAAGACTCGACGGGAACTGTGCATGGACCGTGTGTCTTTCAAGGAACAAGCCAAGCAAACCAGAGAATAGAAAGTTGGTGGGGTATCTACAGACGACAAAACGCAGATTACTGGATGGATCTGTTCAAAGAACTGCAATCAGCTGATGATTTCACAGGCGATGCAACCGACAAAGGCCTTATACAGTTCTGTTTTCTATCCATAATTCAGGTAACTGCATGTTGTTTAGCCTGTTATTACATTATCTTATTTGTTTAACATTGATCCAAAACACTAAACGGGGCGCGTCTCTATTGGCATGTTTACTCATGTTTGCCTAAATTAACTCCATTAGGCAAATGTAGCCCAACTGTCCAATTGCCCTTTCTTATTATTATTAGACGTGTAATCTGTTTGTATTATTTAGTTCACATATATCTGCTTGTCCATAAGCTATAAAATATTTTGAGGAAAAATGCTAGGCTTTTGCCTTACCATATGAGCGTTTCATTAATCATGTAGGGTTATTTGTTCGAAAGTGTCATATTTTTAATGTATTTACTTAACATTTTGAAGTAAATTAATCTCTCTGCCATTTGCGATTTTTTTAATTTGTTTGATCGGTCGTTGTACGGAACCAAGGTTACATACGTAACCCAGATGTTTGATGTGGTGCTGAACTGCGTGTCCACATGAACATAGTAAATTGGCAATAGGCGGCGGTGGGATTCAGCACTAATACTTAACATAAAATGTCAAATAAAACTACTGGAAAACTATTTATGTATATATTACAAAAAATATCCAAAACAACTTACAAATGAGGGAGAAAACAACACTAAGGCTGCTGAGTATCATATTCTAGCAGTCTTGAGTGTTGTTTTCCCCTCATTTGTAAGTTGTTTTGGATATTTACTTAAATAGCTGTACATACATACAGTTTTCCAGTAGTTTTATTTACTATTTATTTTACAATTTATTTACTTGCTTATTCTTTAGATTTTGTTTGCAATTTTATTGCAATGCTTTAATATGCTAGATAATGCTTTTAAGTTATTTGCAATTAATGTTCTACTTCTACTGCTTCAGTAAACACTGCCAATTCACTGCTTTTCAATTCACCGCTTTATACTCCTTTATTAATGCCTAATATGCTTTGTTTTAGGAGGAACTGGACACTGTTGTAAACATGTGGAATAACCATCGAATCCGACGTAGCAGTGGTCGTGACTTACAACATGGGAAACCCTTCCTCATGTACAACTTACCAGAACTTTATCAAACAAAAGACTAATTGAATCCTGTAGATGCTGAAAGATTGGATGTGATTATCCATGAAAATGCCTGTGGAAATCAGACATACCCTGTGATCGTGACCTCTGTGTTCTTGTTATGGAGGAGAATAATCTACAGCCAAGTGCAGCAGCCACAGAAGCATTGAGACTCTACAAAAACATTCAACCTCTGGTTAGGGAACTTTTAGGTTTATAGATGACGTCCCAATAATCATAAAAATGCACAAAATGTTTTTGTG